TCTCTGTCTCCTGTTTATTTTCGTGGGCTGACCTCGGCTAGGGACTACGCTACCAAGGTGTTCGGCTTTGCAACATTTGGGCGCGTGTATGGGACCATTATTTGCGTGTCTGGCTTGGTGAACTTCAGTCAATACGCGCTGGACGCATTGACACACGGACCCTTCGACGGCAACCCAATCCCTGTCAATATTTTCCTGGCAGCTGCCGGGTTCGTGGTAGGTACGGTACTTGTCTCGTATGTGCAGATTGCTGGTAAGCGCTTGAAGGAGAAGAGACTGGCCTTGGAGGGGGATGAAGAGCGAGAACGATTGATTCCGATTCAAGAGGAGGATGCTTGACCTTACTTCAGGTCCGTGATGAATTAGGTTTATTCTTATCTGCATTGCGATAAGAATCGTAATTATTATTTGACGGATAGACTGTCTGCTGTCATGCTGCCAATAGACTGCCTCACCTAGTTTACCTAGGTTTGGACAACTACCTGGCCAGTGGCCACATGGCCTGACAGACCGAACCAGAAATAACGATGATAGTAGGTAGATTCTACCCCGGACTTTAGTCCTGACTAGGTATCAACCAACTCAAATCGAAACTCAATTTTAGAGCTGTCTGACCTGCTGCCGGAAATCCCCTCCTCTCACCCATTCACAGTACCCCTCCACACCACCTGCGTTGGATAAAGTGACCAATGGACTCCTAATACTCCCGCGATGAGCCACCTAGAAACTCAAAGCGCAAAAAATCCGGGGTAAGCACCAGAACGGGTAGATACAGCCGTGATCCTGTCGGGCGATTGCCTGATCTCTGTTGCCAGTGACTAGGGTAGCTCACCAGCAGGGAGACTCTAAGCTTGTTTACGAGGTTGCCAAGAGTGCGCCAAGGTTGCCCAGGAAGTAGTCTTTCTAGTTGTACGGAGTTAGTCTGGTTCGTTTTCATTCTGGTGTCTGGCTGTGGTGGGTTGGGCTAGCGGTCTGGGCTGCGACATGCGGTTTTGAAGAAAGACAAGGGAATCCTGTGCTGCGCTGGATAGAGTACTTGCATGCATGGGGAGATTTTTGGCCAATGGAGGTGCTTTGATCCTAGTATGATTTAAAGTTGGTGGTAATTAAACCAGGGTTGTGCGTCGTGCCTAGGTTATTTGAAATGGACAGGGTCTCGAGATAGCTGTCTTACCTAGGTATCTAGGTAGCTACATAGCTATAACGAATGCAAGCGATAGGTAACAAGCACTCAATCAGCCACAATTGGGCTTGGAAGGTTGGCGCGGGTGAACCCGGGCTTCTACTCTGCATTCAACAGGAACTCTGCTAGTTGTTGAAGTAGACACGTTGACTGCGAGGTTGTGGAGACAGGCATTAGTAGAGTGGCAATTAGCATGGAAATACATGTTAGTTTCAGGTTGAGTGAGTGGGATACGTTATCGTGTACTTGGTGTCGTACAGTCTTCCTGATGAGGTTGTATCTACTGGACAGCGACCATCTTGCCACTCATCCATGGACATACTCAATTCTATTTCCTTGCATCCATCCAGACTTTCATTTGCTTTCTGCTCAACCTCCATGCTCCAGCTGACCGCGTAACTTCGTTCGCAAAACCTAAAACCGCTGGGCCCTGATCCCGCCAAGCTGCCAAGGGCCAGTGTTGATGTCAGTTGTGTCTTTTCCCCCGCATCCAGACCCTCTCCAGATTGTCCTCTTGGTCCACTCTCCACATCCCCCAGCTCAAATGCCGGGGAAAAACTCTGGTTTCCTTTGTTTTACCTGGGGTGCACTCGCCAGCGACCGAGGTATTTTGCCAAACGAGGTCGGCTATTGCTCTGTTCTGTTTAGCGCTGTCGGTAGTTGTTCCTCGTCTACACTCTACACGGACGAATTAGATCAGCTGAGGCTGTACAGATCGGACACTGCTTCAGACAGAGGGGCAATTGTCTCAAAGCTTGCTATTTGGCTATCATAGAGTGTGCGATCTGCAACGTATATCTATCTGTGTCTGCCCCGCCGATCTGAGACTAAAACCAGCAATTCTATCGTCCAACTGGTGTTCCGACAGCTCAACTGTTTGATCCAGAAACAATGTCACCTCCTACCAGCGAGAAGCCGGGCAGCGTGGAAAATATCGAAGATGTCGGCCAGCGCGCCCTCGACAACGTCGACTATGACGAGGAATACTCGTACGAAGAGCAGCGCAAGATCATCCACCGCATTGACCGGCGGCTGGTCACCATGACGGGTCTTGCATACTGCGTCTCGCTGATGGACAGGACGAATCTCAGTATGGCTGCTGTGGCCGGGTATGGACCTTGACTTTATGAGACCCATTGGATGATGTTAACTTTGAATAGTATGATCAAGGACTTGGGATTGCATATCGGAACGAGATACGTATGTGCGACATCTTGATTTCACGGACCTGAAGCTGACTGAATAGTCCGTCATTGTGCTTATCTTCTTCGTCCCCTATGTCATCTTCCAACCCGCCATGACGGTCATTACGAGAAAGCTGGGTCCTACATTCTTCCTGGGGGCTATTGTCATTTCGTGGGGCGCAATCTTGATCGTATGTTTCCCTGTTCAGGTCGAGGGACATCAGCCTAATTGCAAGATAGGGAATGGGCTTCACAAAAGATTGGAAGCAAATGACTGTATGTCGTATGTTGCTTGGTCTTCTGGAAGCAGGGTACTTTCCCGGTTGTGTATACCTGCTTTCCAGTTGGTACGTCAGATGTAAGTGTCCCTTCGCCCCGGATAGCCGGTGCTGTGTACTGACTTCACATAGACGACGTCCAGAAACGTTTCTCGGTCTTCTATCTTATTGGATGTGTTGCCTCGGCTCTGGCGGGTATTCTCGCTTTCGGCTTGTCTCAAATGGCTGGTATCCAGGGCCTGGGAGGCTGGAGATGGATCTTCATCATGGAGGGAGTGGTAAGTTGACCGCCACCCCCTACCTCCCCGGACCTCATGCCAGTGCTGATGATATAGATCACCGGCATTATTGGAGTCTTGACTCTTTTCCTACTCGTCGACTTTCCCGATCGCGCACACAAGTCCTGGCGATTCCTCAGCGAAAAGGAATGCGCCTTTATCGTCCGGCGCATCAACCGGGACCGGTCCGATGCTGATGATGAGCCCTTCAATCTAGTTCGCTTCCTCACCCCGGCTCTCGATCCGAAGATTTGGGGCTTCGCAATGATTTTCCTGTAAGTCCGCGCGCGTCAACAACGAACTCCACCACTGACCATCGCAGCTGCACCACCACCGTCACCTATGCCATCGCATACTTCCTGCCCATTATCCTCCAGCAAGGCATGGGCTACAGCGTCGGCGCCTCGCAATGCCTCGTCGCACCCCCCTTCGTCTTCGCCGGCATCGTCATGTTCGCCTCCGCCTGGGTCGGCGACAAGTACCGCGTGCGAGGCGTGCTCGTCGTCGTCAACTCCATCCTGTGCCTGATCGGCCTGCCCATCCTGGGCTTCCACTCGAACAACGCCGTCCGCTACTTTGGCGTCTTCCTCGCCACAGCCGGCGCCAACGCCAACATCCCCGCGATCATGGCCTACCAGGCCAACAATGTCCGCGGTCAGTGGACTAGAGCGCTCTCCAGCGCGACGCTGGTGGGATTCGGCGGGATTGGCGGTATCCTCAGCAGTCTGGTTTTCCGGTCTCAGGATGCGCCGGGATATCGGCCTGGCATGTGGACGACCATCGGGTACGTCTCTCTTTCTTTCCTTTTACTTCTGCTGCAATACTAACTGATGTAGATGCAATATTTTGATTCTGATTATTGTGGCGGCTATGAGTGTGTGGTTCCGCATCTGCAATAAGCAGGCGGATCGGGGGCAGCGGATTATCGAGGGATCGGCTGACTTCCGGTATACAATTTAAATATCGATGAGGTATCGGACTATTATGATTTAACTAGCCTTGACATATAATGCAGTCTAATGAAATTGTCCTATACTACCAGCCAAGGATTCTGGCCAGGTGATAGCACCCTATGCCTAAGGCATACATCACACCAGATAAAACTAAGCCCTGTCAGCAGTCCTTACTTGTGCCCAGACTGGTGATACAACGGCTGTATGATGCTCCAGGCTTTAGCTATAAGCTTATCGTAATAGGCACAGCTCCTAGCATGAATCATACCCCGCACTAACCATCCCACTGGCACCTTCTATCTATCTGCCCACCTCAACCAAAGCTTAAGCGTAAGTACCCTCAAACATCCATTAATAAGTATCCTAACTAACCAGCTAACAGCCAAGACAAATGCCCTGCACAACCTGCCCAACAACCCACCCCTGCCCCCGCTGCACCGGCACAGGGACCACCTCCGAGCCGTGCCCCTCCTGCTTCGGCAAACGCGGGTTCTTCGAGATGGAGGGCGGCAGCGATGAGGCACGCGGCGAGTTCCATGCGCCGTGCATTACGATGCAGTGTCGGAGTTGTGATGGCGAGGGGATTGCGTTTGAGCGGTGTAGGGAGTGTGTCGGGGTGGGGTATTTGAGGGTTTATTGCGGGGGGTGTGAGGAGGGGTATCGGAGGTATCAATATAAGCATCGGGATGGCGATGGGAATGGGGGTAGGGTGGAAGAGAGGGAGATGGATGAGAAGCAGGGGATGGGGGAGTTTGATGGGGAGGGTGAATTGAATGAGAAAAGGGGTTAAAAATGTGTAGTAAGAGGTATCTAGTGAGGTGATTGAGTTTGCCTGTGGTTCGATACCTTTCGTGTGCTTAATATGACTGATACCTCCGGCCTAGAAGCATGCGCCTGCATGGCCCTGATGATCTATTGGCCGTCTGCTCGCAGTCAGCCTCATTCTAAATCACTGATTGCAGATAGCACTCTGCTATGCATGTACCTGGCCATGCTCCTTAATTTCTGTCACACCCGTCTCTCGTTCTGGCTTTGTACCGAGACAATCTTCCATCATGGACTACAACAGGCCTCTCGACCTTCTTCACATGGCAGAAGAGTCAGATTGGGTCAATAAAGTAAACATGGCTCGCGTGGACGGACGTATCTACAACTGGGTCAAGCGTTTTCATCCCGAGGATCTTTCATGCCGGCTGAATGGCGGTTTCCTACACGGTGCATACAACCTCGGCCAGAAGTTTATCTTTGACGATGGGACAATTTGGTTTCTTCGTCTTCCTCGAGGTAGCAGCATTTCTCCGGAATGTGCAGACGAGAAGGTAGCTATGGAAATAGAAGCCCTTCACCTGGTCCGGGAGAAGACATCGATACCGGTCCCAGAAATCCACGCATGGGGATTTTCAGAGGAGAACCCCTTGGTTTGGGTCCTTTCATGCTGATGAGCTTTATCGATGGCGTCTGTCTCATTGATGTGCTTATCGAAGACGGTTCAAGACTGCTCAAGGAAGAAATCCCTGATGCCGATATTGAATACGTCTACAGGCAGATGGCGCGCTTTATGTTGCAGCTTTCGAGATCGATTTTGAACGGATTGGCAGCTTGCCCACCCCAAGGACGAAATTTCCCGCGCCTGCTCGTCCACTCACATGGAAGGTACACGAGATCCTGAGGGGATGAGGTGTGAATAACTTTGGTTCGTGCTATGCCCGAAATAGGAATCTGTACTAACCAGCCATAGGTGATCGACATGAGGGGTTTTCTACGACTAGAGAATATTTTTCAATATGTGAACAACCAAGATTGGCAACAACTACGACTTCAACCGAATTCAATCGCAGGTCCGCGGGCTGCCAGGTCGAGCTACGCCTCGTTTAAGATTCTACAGTGTCAAATACCAGAATTAACTAATACAACCTACGACCGAGGCCCTTTCAAACTTATCTGTGACGATTTTGGCCTAGGAAATGTGATTGTGCGAAGTAAGGATGACCTTACAATCACCGGCGTAATAGATCTTGAGTGGGTTTACGCCGGCCCAGCTCAGTTATTTGCTTCGGCTCCTTGGTGGCTCCTTTTGGATTGCCCCATTAACACCGAGTGGGACTTTGAAGAGGGAGAGGCTCCGAAAGCCACTGATGGCTACTTCGAGTGTCTGGCAATCTTTAAGCGTGTGCTGGCGGAAGAGGAGGCAAAGATGACGGTAAATCAAGGGAAAGAACTCTCTGAACTCATACAATGGTCCGAAGACTCGGGTGCCATGTGGCTCCAGATGCTTCTGTCGAGCGGCTTTTTTGATACGCCTAGCTTTCCTTGCATGCAACTGCGGAAGCATCGGGGTGCTGAATGGTGGGACGAGCGCATGGAAGCGTATGGGGGTACAGAGGAAGAAGTAACATTCGTGACTAACAAGCTGGATGATTTAGCTGCATATGACAAGATTGAAAATGAGGTTGAACACTGCAAAGCCCTCATGGATAGCAAGGAGATGACAACAGAGGATTTTATTTACACTGTCTCCTCTCTTCTCAGGTCTACTCGATAGGTGGCCCAGTCAATGGAATAGCACGTGGATGACGTGATTTTAGACATATTTCTATGGTTCTTCTGCAAAGACATGTTCAGTGGATCGCTACCAATACACACTATGACTTCTTCACTCCGATGAGGTCAATTTCTTCGAGGACAGAATAGAATGTACAGAATTGCCAAACATTTCCAGGAGACAGTTTGGCTAGCAAAGTATGAAGCTCCTGCAATCTAGGACGACACTCGCTTACAGCAGATATTTGGCGGGGATGGAAGGAATCAATCAGGCGAAGCATCCCGCCTGAGAAGAAAAAGCTATTTGGCCGGATTCCAGAGGAGGTCGCCAAGGAAGATAAGGAATTGATTCTCAAGATAATGAAACTTGGTCCTAGGGACAGCCCATCGGCAGCGGAATTGCTGCACGATAAGTGGTTTGATTTTTTAGAGTATATGGATTATCGCGTCGAATACAGAACTGATATGTCGTCCCAGATACAGAGATAGCTATAGCCTATCTTTCTATTGTTGATCTAGACTAAATGGATCCATGTCCATTATTGGATGTCCCCGGTATTTCCCTATGAGAACTCCGCAGGAAAAGCATACCGGGGAACAACCAAGAAATACTATCGGAGAAGCTGGACTGCTGGAGGAAGCTGAGGTCGGTTCTTGCACGACAGAATAAATTCAATTGCAGTCTGGATTCTTCATATCTAGCTCAGTTTGAATAGAAGCCTGGATCATTGATTGACACACAACTTCCTTCATGCGAATTGCTACTTGCACATTGAATTTGCCCTTCCTCCTAGTGATAAATTTCCCGCGGAAAACTTCTTATCGGTCGCGTCGGCGGATATGTAATCAGACGGTGATTGGCCCGGGCAGGAGTTATCGGCGTATTGGACGACGAAGAAAGTTTCCCGCCGTCGGTCGTCATCGTCCGCGGTCTTCTTGTCGGACACAATGAGCAGAAATAATTATTATGACGGTCAATCTCGTGCTGGTCGGTTTTTCTTCTTCCGATGACTTCTTTTATTTCTTCTTTCCCTATTCCTAACTTTCTCAATTCTCATCCCAATCCATCCCTGTTGATGTGTTGAGCTAACCGAGTCGTGAGACCGACCTCTGACGACATACCTACTCTTCCACTCCTTTGGACAAACCGCCTCGGTCCATTGGACTCCCTCTATCCGCAGGCATGGCTGCATCGTGGTGCGCCCTCCGTGGCACTCGCCAGCTTGTCCTTCGTACGCGGTTGCGTGCCTCTCCTGCCTCAATCTCCCTGCGAAAGGCCTCTCCCTCGCCGGTATTGGCCACTCGCCGCTATCTCAACACTGCCACACAAGCAACTCCAGCGTCGCGACGGGCAGTTTATACTAGCTCCGTAGCTGACCATGGCGACCCTCATCCCCGCGATCTCTTCCAACCCCTCGACACTTTCCCCCGCCGTCACATTGGCCCCTCGCCCGAGGCGGCCCAGGAGATGCTCGCCGCATTGGACCCTCCGGTAGCAACTCTGGATGAGTTCGTCAAGCAGGTGCTTCCCGCCGATATTCTGTCCAAGAAAGACCTCACAGTCACCTCTCCCAGCGCCGACATCAATCTGCCTCGCTCCAGTGTACACGGTGGCTTGGGAGAGACGGATATGCTGAAGCTGCTCGAGACCTACCGCAAGCAGATTGACATCTCCGGCAAGACATACCTGGGAACCGGCTACTACCCCACCATTGTTCCTCCGGTTATCCTCCGCAACATTCTGGAAAACCCCGCTTGGTACACCAGCTACACTCCCTACCAGCCTGAAATCAGTCAAGGCCGTCTGGAGTCGCTTCTGAACTTCCAGACCTTGACCGCCGACCTGACCGGCTTGCCATTCGCCAATGCATCCGTCCTGGATGAGGCCACCGCCGCTGCCGAGGCCATGACCATGTCTCTGGCCACCCTCCCCATGGCTAAGCAGAAGAAGCCCGGCAAGGCGTATGTGGTGTCCCATCTGTGCCACCCTCAGACCCTTGCGGTCATGCAGTCTCGCGCTGAAGGATTCGGAATCAATCTGGTGATTGGTGACATCATGGCGAACGACTTTGAGCTGGTGAAGAAGCAGGGTGACAACCTCATTGGTGTTCTCGCGCAGTACCCCGATACCGAGGGTGGTGTGTACGATTTCCAGGCTCTGAGCGACAGCATCCACGCCGCTGGTGGCACCTTCAGCGTTGCTACCGATCTCCTCGCATTGACCCTCCTCAAGGCTCCCGGTGAGTTCGGTGCGGATATCGCGTTTGGTAATGCCCAGAGATTCGGTGTCCCTATGGGATTCGGTGGTCCTCACGCAGCTTTCTTTGCCTGCGCCGACAAGTACAAGCGTAAGGTTCCTGGACGTGTCGTCGGTGTGTCCAAGGACCGTCTGGGCAACCGGGCTTTGAGGTTGGCTCTGCAGACTCGCGAGCAGCACATTCGTCGCGAAAAGGCCACCAGCAACATTTGCACCGCTCAGGCTCTGCTTGCCAACATGAGTGCCATGTATGCCGTTTACCACGGTCCGGCCGGCCTCAAGTCTATCGCCCAGCGTGTCATGGCCATGACCTCGACTCTGCAGGAGAAGCTGACTGCCTTGGGTTACAACGTTCCCGTCAAGGGCAGCGCTGTTTTCGACACCCTGTCTGTCGAATTTGCCAGCAGTGAGGAGGCTGATGCCCTGATTGCGGCCTCTCGGGAGCAGAACATCTTTCTCCGCCGCGTGTCTTCCACCAAGGTCGGTATCTCTCTTGATGAGACCGTTGGTCGCGAAGAGGTCAAGGCTCTGCTACAGTTGTTTGCCAAGCACGCCGGCAAGGGCGAGGTTGAGCTCTCTGAAGAGATTGGCATCAAGTCCATTCCCCCTAACTTGGAACGGACCTCCCCCTATCTTACCCACCCCGTGTTCAACACACACCATTCCGAAACCGAAATGTTGCGATACATCCGCCACCTCGAATCGAAAGATCTGTCTCTCGCTCACTCGATGATTCCCCTTGGCTCCTGCACGATGAAGCTCAACGCAACCACCGAGATGATCCCCGTCTCCTGGCCCGAGTTCTCCCAGATCCACCCCTTCATGCCCGCCGACAAAGCCAAGGGTTACACGCAGATGATCGACGACCTTGAACAGCAGCTCGCCGACATCACCGGCATGGCTGAGATCACCGTGCAACCCAACTCTGGTGCTCAAGGCGAGTTTGCTGGCCTGCGTGTCATCAAGAAGTACCTGGAAGCCAACGGAGGCGAGAAGCGCAATATCTGCTTGATCCCTGTCTCAGCTCACGGCACCAACCCCGCCAGTGCCGCCATGGCCGGTATGCGCGTGGTCTCGATCAAGTGCGACACCAAGACCGGTAACTTGGACCTGGCTGACCTCAAGGCCAAATGCGAGAAACACAAGGATGAACTTGCAGCCATCATGATCACCTACCCCAGCACCTTTGGTGTGTACGAGCCAGGTGTCAAGGAGGCCTGTGAGATTGTCCACCAGCACGGCGGACAGGTCTACATGGATGGCGCCAACATGAACGCGCAGATCGGTCTGTGCTCTCCCGGTGAGATTGGTGCCGATGTGTGCCACTTGAACCTGCACAAGACCTTCTGCATTCCCCACGGCGGTGGTGGCCCCGGCGTGGGTCCCATTGGCGTTGCCGAGCACCTTCGTCCTTTCCTACCTTCGCACCCAGCCAGCGAGTACCTGCAATCCAAGCGTGGGGCGACCTCGTCGCCCCCCATCAGCGCTGCTCCTTGGGGTAGCGCCAGCATTCTTCCCATCACCTTCAACTACATCAACATGATGGGTGCCAAGGGTTTGACTCACGCCACCAAGATTACTCTCCTCAATGCCAACTACATCCTCTCTCGTCTCAAGCCCCATTATCCCATTCTCTACACCAACGACAACGGCCGCTGCGCCCACGAGTTCATCCTCGATGTGCGCAAGTTCAAGGATACCTGCGGTATCGAGGCCATCGATATTGCCAAACGTCTGCAGGACTATGGCTTCCACGCCCCCACCATGTCCTGGCCTGTGGCCAACACTCTCATGATTGAGCCCACCGAGTCGGAGAACAAGGCGGAGCTGGACCGGTTCTGTGATGCGCTCATTTCCATTCGCAAGGAGATTGCCGCCGTCGAGAGCGGCGAGCAGCCCCGGGAAGGTAACGTTCTCAAGAACGCCCCTCACACGCAGCGCGATCTGCTGTCCAGCGAGTGGAACCGTCCCTACTCGCGGGAGGCTGCGGCGTATCCCCTTCCATATTTGGTGGAGAAGAAGTTCTGGCCTTCGGTGACCAGAGTAGATGATGGTAAGCCTTTCTTTTTTGTTTCCTTTTTCTCTCCAGAGAGACGAAGCTAATTCATTTATAGCATACGGTGATCAGAACCTGTTCTGCACGTGCGGCCCGGTGGAGGAGACGGATTAATGATACCCTTGTTTCAACATTCTTCTAATTCAGTTTTACTTTGACCCTTTTCAACACTTGCCTTGAGGCATTTATGGTGGGATGAGCAGCATGATACGATTCAACAAATCATGATAGACATTGGGATGGCGTTTGATTTTCCTTAGAGTGGCAACCAGCTGTGGCAGCCGAAAATAGCGAGTTAATACCAGTTTGCACTGCTCAACGCAGTTCATATCAATATTATCATCATTCATCAGTATCTCCATTAACCGACCCTGTAACTTAGGTGGAAGGGTCGGTTAGTCTATCACTCCGAATGCTTATCTTATCGGAGTGGCGACGATCACATGGTTAAGGGTGCAGTGGGTACCTGAGGCATCGGAGCTGGCCGCTCTCCGTCCACGAGGGACTTTTCTCTCGCCGCAATTGGCCGATAATCATCCCCGTCTACCCCAGTATCCACCTGACTTATTCTGGTCTGAGACCTGCTTCACTTCTATTTAGATAGACCTCGACCCGGTGTTCGTGTTCCTGGTGTTGAGCTTGAGTCGGAATTGCTGCTTGTTTTGGTCTCTGCAGTTGCATCCATGTC